AATAAATATTTGAGTATAACATTTTATATAATACATAAATATAAATAGATAAATATAAATGTAAATTAATAAATCTAAAAAAATTTTACCTTTTGATTTTTGTAATATATAAGCTTTATTAGTTGTTAGTCTAATAATCAAATAATTTTTATTTATACTTTTTTTTTCATCTTCTTTAGTTATTTTTAATTCTAATTTAATTAAATTCATAGTCCTTTAAAATTGAAGTTAAAAAATATAAATTATTATTTTAATAAAAAAATCATACATTAACAATTATCTTTTTTTTTTGTTTTTACATTAGTCTTTGCCAACTCTTTTTTTATAATTACTTAATTTGTAAAATTTTGTTTTATGATTATTTTTCTTGTCCCTTTCTCATTTCCAATTTCCTAACATTTTTGTCCATTCTTTATTTTATTCCTTTAACTTGTATTACAAATTATTTTAATATATTAATATAAATACTCAAACTAAAGTTACAAAAAAAACTTATTTAAATGAGATTTTAGTGTAATTAAATGCACATTTCCAAATATATATATAACAATAATATTGGATATATATACAATTTAGAAGAAATGCGAAGTAGAATTTACATATTTAAAAGAATAAAAAAGTTAATAATAACATAATATGAATAAAATAAAATAAAAACATAATATCTTACAAAAAAAATATGATATTTTCATATAACTTGACATTTATCAAATTCATACATTTTCTCCAATCCCTTGAATAAAGTTTTGTCCTTACCACACATCAAAAAAAAAAAAAATTGAACCATTAATAATTTAAAAAGAAAGTAATATATAAATTTCAAATAGATAAAATTACAAAATTCTTTTAAAAAAACAATTATCATATCTTCTATAAAAAAATTCATAAAAAAAAATAAGACTAATAAGGAAAATTGTTTATACAACAATATATATATTTTGGATTAAGATAAAAAAAGATATATAAAATAAAAACATAATATTATATTTAGATACAATATGAAATAGGAAACAAAAAAAAAATTGAAACTCACCATATTAATAAAATGAAATTGAAAAGATGAAGAGTGGAATATAATATATTGATGTAGAGAAAAGTGAAGGTTTATACATAAGTGAATAGGAAGATGGAAGAGTATTGTACATAAAGAATAAGAAAACAAAAAAAATAGGAAAAATTGTAACTACACAAATACTTATTATGTTATGCATTGCAATTCTGTGCATTTATTTTTCATAAATTTTAAATATCTATTCATCTTCCTTCATTTTAATACATTTTATTACATTATATTATGTATATAATAAAAACTAATAATAATAAAATAATTATAAATAATAAATACATATAATAATTATATAATAAATAATAAATATATATTATTATATTATTATTATATATTAAATATATATTAATTAAATATATATAAAATGGTACCCTATTTAATGCATAGGAATTTAATTTTTTTAATAATATCTGAAATTTTATTGTTGGTCGGCATCAGCCGACATCAGATTGATCAGATATGAAACTTCTTGATCATATCTGAAATGTTCTTCACTTTCAGTCCAATCTTCAGGAGCCTTCCATCAGCCGCTGCCCCGCTGTTTCCTGGACTTGAGATAAACAAGGACCTTAGTTTCCGGCCCACGATTCTTGGATAAAGGCCCAAATCAGTGCTCTTTTTTCCCATTTTGATTTTTTGAGGTTTTTTTTTTTTTTTTTTTAGTGCTCTTTTTTCCCATTTTGATTTTTTGAGGTTTTTTTTTTTTTTTTTTCAATATGGGGTTGGCCCATGAAAGAAAACCATTTTTCCTCTCTATTTACTTCACTTTGGATGCTTATCAGTCAAATCCAAAATTTTTTACTTTATTTAAAATTTGGAAAAAAAATCATCATTATACTGTTTAAGTCATGGACTTTAAAATTTTGAAATTAAATAATTTGTAATTTATCAATTATTTTAATATACAAATTAAATCTGTTTTATTCAGTTATACTAAACATAATTAATTCATGCACTTAAACTTTCGGTTCAATGATAACAAAACCACGTTAAAGTGCATTTTTCTCTTTGGGCAACGATTCGAATCCGACCCTTGTAAACATTTAAAAAAAAAACACAATTAATTCATAATGAAAAAAAAAAAAAAAAAAAAAAAAAAAAAAAAACTAGAAATTTAGAGAAGTATATTATCATGTCATGAAATGGCCTTTGGTTCAATGGTGGTGACCTGGGACGTTGAACTAAATCCACCGACCATCCTCTTAAGAGCTTGAAGGGACAACCTTTATCTAGGTTTTGACTTCAGACATTGACACTCATAAAAGGCGAATCCTCGCCAATTATAACAAGGTCGTGGAAGCTATAAATCATAGGCGGTGCAACGATTGTAATTCCATTTGTTTTACGTAAGCAAAAATGTTTTTACCATAGCCACCATGTGCTATCCAGAAACAGAGGTACTTTAGGAATGGATTATTTATGTTTTATGGTTTTTTTTTTTGTTGAATAAAAAAAATTATTAATAAGAGAATAAAGAGTACATAGGATGATCCTATGCCTCAAGTTAGACAAAAAGCTTAATTATATTTAAGTAATAGAAGATGTTGTCATAAAATATTTAGATAATTAAGTATAGAAAACTCAATTATTACCTAAAATCTAAAAAAATCATTGCAAGAATGATAGGAGAGCTACGTAAGTTGAAAAATTACCATTATAAGTAACTTAAAGTCTTAAACTATTAAGTAATTCCAACTATTATACCAATTTCAAGAAGAGCAAGTTCCGACCAATTCATGGTCTCCATTCTTCAAACATCTATACCTTGAAGATTTGCGGGAGAGTGAATTCCTAGTAAATGACAATCTTTACCCACTGTGAATCTAATTGGGATAGAAAAATTAGTCGAAGATCCCGCTTCTTGACCATATCGACAACTGGTGGGATGAGCAATGCAACTCATTCGAGCCCAACCACCACGTCCGTGCTATTCCCCTTCTCCATGGGATCACAACCAAACGAAACATCAAAATAATTCAGTCGAAGTCCCATAAGAGGGAGAAACTCTAGTGAGGGATTAAAAAACCCCATGAGGGGGACAATCTGACCATGTTTTATGGTTGATTATCAAATTTCCTAAAAAACCAGTACAATTTGATTTTTATATGAAACAAATTACTCAACTCCAATAATCTACTTAATTCTTTCCCAAATATTAGGAAAGCTGCCGAATCAATTCAACTAAAAATTCACTTACCTAATAGCCTTATTCTTTTTAATTTTTTAAACAAACATTAGTCCTTTTCATCGCTTCCTACCAAATCCAGTCCTATTTCAACAAAAAAATTAAAATCAAGTCTTGTCCTTAACTTCTCCATCCTTTTCAACTTCTATTTTTCATTTTTTGAGACTAAACACAAAGCATCTTTTTCACTCCACAACCTCCAAAGCCAGCCAAAAATCATAATTAATAAATAATACATTTCTTTATCAGCCGCGTACTGACACTAATATTGGGTTTGGTTCAAAGAAAATGTCAGCAATATACAGTCACCTCACCGGCATGCTTGAGATATTTTTGCACATTGTTTTCTTTAATCTAACTAATTTCCTTTATTTTACTAACTCATCATTTGTAATTATATCATACTCTTATCTCCAGTATTATAATCATCGTGCCGTTGTGATTAAGAAATTTAGATGATCTCATGGGCCGGTGAGAGGTCCCACTTTTCACCATCATCTTGTTAATGACACATCTCAATTGCCTTAGTCACAACATTTATGTGGAAAGGTATAGATTAAGTATGTGAAAGAGTGTTACTTCTTTATTCCATAAGCTTTTTATCTGATATGGAGGAATTGATAAAGAATTCCTGGATAGGCAGGATTCCCAGATAGAAATTGTTTCTTTGGAAAGAAGATAAAAAGGGGGTTGCGGCAATTTCTAGAGGCTTAAAATATTCACATGAATGCATCCTACTGCTTGCATTGGTGTGAAAATTAGGTATGTGAATTACTGCACTTATTATTAATTTATTAGATTAGATATAAACCTTGTATTGAAACTTATGTGTCTAATTTTTATAGATAAGTATATCAACCTATTTAGAACTTTGAATTTTTTTTTTTTCCAATTTCAGCTTTGATTGGTGCTTTTGCCAAACTTGAATCAGAGTTACGAGCATGTTAAGTGATGAAAATTTTCAAAACATGGTGTGAATGAGATCTTGTATCGTTTGGAGTTTATTGAAAGCTTGAAAATTTTGATAGAAACAAAGTAATAATGGTAGATTGGGTTTTTTTATCCACAATAATTACACTCACCTTGCAAATGAGATTTGATCCTGAAACTTTCTATCACTTAAGTTTGTCTCTTTTGTTACTAAAGTTTTATTGACCTCCATATGTGTAGGTGTTATATTGCTACTTTATTTATGTGAAAGGGAAAACCATTTTGATTTTTTGTGATTAGTTATAGAATAGTACTATTGCCTCATGATGAGAGTTGAATTTCACATGGGGGATCCACAAAGAATGGCATCTTCACTATGTTTAATGAATAGAAAGTAATTGATAATGCAGCAAATTTAGGGTGCTTGCTTTTTTCAGTATTATGGATGCTGTTTTGTAATGGCAAAATACAAGAGATAAAATTAAATATTCTTCACAAAAAATCTTGAAACTTCAAATATCATGATTTTTTGCAAGCCAAGATATTTTAATTTCTATTAGATAATGCATCCTTTGTGAAATTTTATATTATCTTAAAGTAAAAATGATTGAGTTACAATGTTTTCCTTACAATCTTTTGTATAATACTTAACATCAAACAAAGTGGTTGAGTGATTGTGCTTTTTTAGCTGGATGTATGAATCAATATGCATTCACTAATTAAATTATATTGTAGCTTCGAATGATTACCATATCCAAGGTGAAACAATATAGAAGAAAATTGTGAGCAATGATGGTGCTGGAAATAGCTAAAGTTTATCATCACATCTACTGTTTATAGAGGAGGAGATATTAGAAAGATAAATATCTTTAACAATCAAAAGTACAAAGCTACTACATTGATTCCATGCTCCGAGCAGAAAAAGATTGCTGGAGATGGAGGCAGGGACGCATTCAGAAGGAGATCACCAAAACTGTCTCCTTCTATGCTGTCTCAGCTGCATCTATCTTACATCAACAACAAAGACAAAAAAAAAAAAAACACAAAAGTGAAAGAGAACATGCATATTATGTAGAACGAAACTATCTTGAGACACAAGGGGTTACAACTGAAAGATATGAGCAACAAGGCCTAAAAATATATAGCCTTTTGTGCAGCAGATTCAAAGAGAGGTTTTGGAAAAATATGGAGCATTTAAAAATTTAGACAAAGAAAAAATCTCCCTAGAACAGGTTGTTTTTGTCAAAATCTGCAACCAGTGTGGAAGAAAATATGGGAAAGCAGAGGTAAAGTATAGGAGAATGAAAGTCACAGGCTGATTTTTTCTAAAAAATCTGCAAACAGTGAAGGAAAATCTAAGGGGGTGGTCCCAAAACCTTCTCCATAAGGATACAATAGAGAAAAGCACACAAAAAACAAAAAATGGAAAAGGGTTTTATGGATGACCTATGAATCTTGATCTTTCCAGAAGAAGGGTTTCATTGGACAAGAAGAGGAAGTAGAAGAAGTTGAGGTATCCTGGGGTCTACCGAGATCGGAATTGGGAAATTGCTGTTGATTTGGATCAGTAAAAGGAAGATTTGAAGGTAAAAGAAGATTGTTAGTGGTGTCCAAATGATCCCACACAGGACTCCCAGGACCCCAACCTGCAGGAATTGCATTGAACCAAGCTTCTTCCATTTCTCCCCAGGCCAACTCCTGCGACCCTGAACCTGAAATACCTTCACCTGCCCCTGAACTCTCTGTGGTCACCTGTGCATCATCACTAGTAGTAGCCTCACTCATCCCCAATCCTGAATCAGTGTCAGGATTGTCTCCTGGAGGCTCTGTTACCGGTGGTGGGGGTGGCATTAGTTCAGTGTTTGTGGCTGGAAAATTTAGGCCTTGTACTTCCTCTTGAGGCTGTTTCTGGTGCCTTATTGCTGATGAAGATGGAGTCTGTGGAGAGGTAACTGCTGAACTCGGAGCTGTGGACGTTCCTTTGTCCTTGTTGAGGAAACGCTCAGGGAAATTAAGCCTAGCATTCTCTCCTCTCAACTTGAAGGCCTCGCGGTCGTAAGCCATGGCGGCATCTTCAGCTGTGTCAAAAGTGCCTAGCCAAAGGCGAGTCCTGTTTCGAGGAAGACGAATTTCGGCTACCCATTTTCCCCAATGCCTCTGCCTCACTCCTCTGTAGAGCTTAGTAGTGTTTATGGGCTGTATGGGTGGCCTAAACAATGGCCTCCCATCCTGCCCCAATCCGCTCATCATCATCATGCTCCCTCGCGGACTTAAATTCATTGCATCACTCCAGTACTGAAGAAGCTGCTGCTGTTGTTGCTGCGGTAACATAGGTGATTCTCCGGACATAAAAGGCGGAGAAGCATAACCAAGGCCAGGTTGCTGCTGAGGAGGACTGAAGGAAATCATCTGTTGCTGATTATGATGAACTGGAGCCTGAAAATACGGCATAAGTGGAGGGTTTGTTTGGAATTGTTGAGGGAATTGGACTGGCTGTTGGGATGTGTCAAAAGCAAATGGAAACACAAGTCTTGAAGGTGGAAGAGGAGATGGAGAAACAGAGGAAACAGAGGAGGGAGCAGAGAACGGAAGAGAGGATTGAACATGGTCTTGGCGTTCAGGGCTACGGATTTTCTTGAGAGGCCTCTGTGACATGGAAGCATCATCAAAAACTGGCTTCCGTTGCGGCCTCTCAAGGCCGAAACCAAGACCCTTTCCTCTTTCAGTCTCCAAGTCTTGACCCACCATCATTTCCTCTGTTTCTTTGACACCCTTTTTGGATTTGCCACTGTTCTTCGCGGCAGCCATGGATACGGATGACCCTGCCTGCTTACTCGCTCTCTCTTGTACTTACCGTCAATAAATAAACCCCTGAAGGAGAATTCGAGATGGGAACAAAAGGTATAGCAAGAAAGATTTGAATCAAATGTATATGGTGGAAAAAGAAATACCCAGATTCAGATTTGGTCAATAAATTAAAAAAATAAGACCGAATTTAAGAATCTGGAGTTGCATTTAATAGCTAATCCGATGGAACCAAAAACAGAATCGGATACGATAAGCTGAAATTCTTGAGCAACCCATCTCAATTCCGGTATATTCCACAGAGAGAGCGAGCTTCAAGACCCAAAAAGCAAATCCAAATGGGTGTTGCGTTTCAATTCTTGATTATAGAGCGCTGGATTTGGTGTTTTCTTCAGGGTGTTTCGAGCTGAGGAACAGAGGAGGAGGTGGAGAAAACAGGGGAGGGTGTATGTTGTTTGTTTATGAAAGGTAGAAGAAATGCAGGGGAGCTGTAAGGGCTTTATAAGAGAGTTTGTAGGAAGGCAGTAAAAGATAGTGGAGGATTTGTATAAGTCTGGTGGTTGGTTGGCTCTGTGGGTCCTTCCACCGGCTATTATTTTCGTGGCTTCCACTCTAATTTCTCTATGCAGCTCTTCCCACTTACAAAACAGTCCCTTTCCTTCCTACTATAATAAAATAGATATGAATTTGTGAAAATTATGGCTAGATACTACTAGGAACAATTGTGTAAAAAAATTTGTTTGATTTTAATAGTTTTTATATATGTAAGTTTAGTGCTTGTCATCCAAACTTTAAAAAAATTAAGATAAATACTTAAAATTATATTATTTTATTAAAATATTATAAAAAACCAAAATAAATTCATTTTTAATTTAAAATATATGTTATTTTAATTTTTTTAATGAGATTTAATTAAAATAAAATAATTTTATATGTTTTTTTTTTAATTTTTTAGAAATTCAATTAACAAATACTTTGCTCTATATATATGGTATTGAAGGAACATAAGATGGCCAAATATAGTTTTCTTAAAAATATTTATATTTGTGGTTCAAATACAACTAATAGTTAATAATTGATATAATTCCTTTTCTGAGTGAGGAAAACAATTTATTAAAAGAGATGCAGGCAAATACTCCAAGGCATATACAAATTGTGTTTTGAGTGCAATGCTGGTTAAGCTCTCAGTGCATCATCAAACTCACAAAACATCACTTATACTAGAGCCCAAACCAGCAGCATAATCTTCTGGCTCTCATTATTAAGGGTTTTACCGTTTCCTCTCCACACAAAATTGAAACTGGCACCAGGCCCTATAATAAAAAACTAACCCATGATTTTTTTCCTTTACTCCACTTGGAAACTGTTTGTTGATAACCGAGATCTATGGTTGATAATTATTATTTTTTATAATAAAAAATATATAATTTATTTAATTATAATTAACCATTAATAATTATTTTTAAAATTCTAAAACAAACACTTTGGAATTTTTTGAGAAGCTGATCTTACCGTCTAAAATATTATAAAGCTATAATTATAGAACTGAAGTTTCTAGAGAAATGTAAAATTTATAACCGAAAAATTGAATTTATTTATAAATAAGTATTGTTAAAAAATCTAAAATTTAAATTTTGAAATCAACACCTTAAAAAATTAATTTTTTTTAAATGCACAAGGTGGATGTGAGGTATGTTCTTAAAATTATCTAAAAAAATATTAGTTTTAAAATATATGCAAATTGATCTAGACACAAATATATTCTGATAATATAAACCCATGAAGCGCCAAACCCACCTCGAGATAAAAGAAGAAGTGTGAGTAGTATGTAACTGTAAAAAGTTTAAATTTTTGAGAATTCATGGATTTTAATTTAAAGAATTGTTAATATAATGACAAACTTTTATTCAAGTAATTTAAAAAAGGTAAAATTATAAGATATTATTATTTATTTTTAAAAACAAGTCATTGTAGTTTTTTTCAATGTAAATTTATTAAAATAATATAATTTTATATTATTTCTTCCTGTCATTTTCTAAATCTCCAACTTAAAAGCATTTCTCAAATTATAAATATTGATGATTATATCCCATTTTGGTTATAGATTCGGCTAATATAGGGAATGGTTATTGTCGGTCTTTTTATTAAAGCCACACAAAATATTATTTGATTAATAAAATAGTTGATAATTATAACTATTAATAAGTAATGAAATTTATTATTTAATATATTAATTTATAAATTTATATTTTTAAAATAATGTAAACAATTATTTTAAAAAAATTATAAACTAATAAATTAGTCAAAACAACATAATTATTATACTATTTGTAAAACCTTAATAAAAAGAAGTATTGCAGTAATCCTGCCCTAAATATGGAAGAAGGATAGTTTTTTTTTTTTTT